GACCATAGTTCCTGGGCTCATACTTCCTGTGAAAACCATCATCCTAAGTGAATGGGATGGTTGATTCAATTGAGAATATTTACACCCAAGCTTCTCAGTAGTTTATTCTCAAACCTGTTGTGACTTGGATAGGAAAGAATGATTAAAATAAAACAGTAGTGGCCATCATCATATACAAATTAGCTAAAATAAAAGACTTGAAATTCAATACGTACTTCTGTTTTTAAATTCCACATCTCAGGGGCTTTGGTTGTGGCTCAGTGGTAGAGCACTTGCCTAGCATATGTGAGGTACCGGGCTCGATTCTCAGCATCAAATAAAAATAAATAACAATAAAGGCTCATCCACAACCATATATATGTGTGTGTGTATATATATATATATATATATATATTTTTTTTTTTTTTTTTTTAATACCTTAAAAAAATTCCACATCTCAGATTTTATTGACTCATAAAGTTGGAAAAGAAGCTTAAAAGTGTCCAACCATGTTTTCTTTCTTTCTTTTTTTTTTTTTTTTTAATTTTGGTACCAGGGATTGAACCCAGAGGTGCTTAACCACTGAGCAACATCCCCAGCCTTTTTTGTTCATTATTTAGAGACAGGGTCTCTCTGAGTTGCTTAGGGCCTCGCTGTGTTGCTAAGGCTGCATTTGAGTTGTCCATCTTTCTGCCTCCACCTCCCAAGCTGCTGGGATTATAGGTGTGCGCCACTGTGCCTGGCATCAACCAGTAATTCTTATTTCTCGATTTTATAAACTTTGGGGGGACTGTAACAGCTGTAGATACTATGCTTAGAAGAGTAAAATTACATAACAATATTGGGTTTCAAGAAAATATTGGATTCCTAAAAATTGTTTCTAGATCCTACATGAAGAAATCCATTTTATGCCAAAGCCTAGCCTTGAGTCTGGGAGAAGTTCAGTGACCTTTGTACAGCTACACAGCTTCTATGGCTGAATACTGTACTTCTTTTGTTCCTTTCCTATCATGTTATCCCTTCCCTTAAAACTAGCTCTAAATTTATAGAACCTAAAGGACGGGCAGGGAGATTAAGTTTAAAAATCAATGATTTCAGCTTTGGTTTACCAACTAGGACAACAAAGTACATTAAGTGAATAATACCCAAAATATTTGAGTCATTGATTTAGAAAAGCCAGGATAACTAAGCAAAATTTTTATACTCACTATGGTTATTTAAGGGCTAATCCAGATCCCTAGTTTATCTAATTTCTTGATCATTTTTCTTATCTGGACTGCCTGCATCAAAATTAATCATTTAACTGTCAGACAAATCACTCTTGAGCATTAGATTAACACATTTATCCTGTCTACCCTTTCCTTTTCTTGCTCCATCCAAAGGCCCCCATAATTAGGCTCACTCTGAGCCACATTATCTACCTGGCTTTTTTAGGAAGACACCAAGCTGAAAGGAGTACATGCACATAGTTGTCATTATTTACATCCCAGTATATCTCCTACCACTATACCTTTGATCCGGTTACTTAGTTTCTCTGTACTTTAGTATCTTCATCTGTAAAATAGGATACAATTTCATTTATTCTTTTAGTCTTTCATGTTGTAAGAAATGAATGTAGCATTTGCCTGAGTTAAATGGTGGCTTTATGTCTTTTCACACACATATATGCCCTTTATTGGAGTCCGGCAAGTGTATCCAAGTACTCAGTTCCTATCACTGTTACTATATTACTGCATTATTCATTCAATATTAGCCAAGTTCCTTATCTGGTTTAGTCATTGATGTGTTGGGGTTTGGAGGTGTGCTAGGTTCTCTTCTTTTTCTCTTTCCTCTATTTGTAATAGTTTCTTTTCCTTCCACCCTCTCTCCCTCCACCGGGATTGAACGCAGTGCCTTGCACATGCTAGGCAAATGCTTTACCAGTGACATACAGCCCCAGCCCTTTATTCATTTTGACAAAGGGTCTTGCTGGCCTTGAACTTGTGATCTGCCTGCCTCGGTCTCTAGAGTAGCTGAGGTTACAGGCATATAGCACTGTATCTGGCTCATAATAGTTTCTTTACTGGTATGCTTCATAAAATTTTATTCTCATTTTCCCATTGTAAGAGAACAGTTTTCTTTCCAGTGAATAAACACTTGATGTAAGAGACAGATTTTTGTCTCTAGAATGGTGGAGAGCAGTTGATGATGTGGCAGTCCACAGGCTGGGAGCCAGCACTATGCCTCTAATTTGAAGGGTGGGGTCACAGTAGGATTCTGAAACTGATGAGGATTTCATTTTGGATTTTTTTTTTTATTTCAATATCTCACATGTTGAAAAATATATTAAAAGGTAAATTAAATGCTGACCTCCTTCTTACCTTCCTTCCTCCCTTCCACTGGGGATTGAACTCAGGGGCACTTGACCACTGAGCCACATCCCCAACCCTGTTTTATATCTTATTTAGAGACAAGTCTCACTGAATTACTTAGCACCTCACCATTGCTGAGGCTGGCTCTGACTTCTCAATCCTCCTGCCTCAGCCTCCCTGGCCACTGGGATTACAGGCATGCACTGTACCTGCCTCTTTCTTTTTCTTTTCTTCTTCTTCTTCTTCTTCTTTTTTTTTTTTTTTTTTAATAGTTTTATTCTATTCTTCCTGAGCCCTAGGGAAACGTGTAACTTCCTCTTTGGAGGAATCATTTCATTCCTTTCTGGTCACTGTTCTAATTCATCCGGCCTTCCTCAGGTTCCTACACTTGCTTAATTGTTTGATTTTACTCTTTTATCTACAAACTGGATTGTAAGCTATGTAAGATCAGAGACTTAGACAAAATCTTTTATATCCTGCAGCAATGCCTATGGAAGTTTAGGATACATGAATATATACTTGCTGATTCATTCCTTGCAATCGCCCCATAATATAATTTCATTAATTGTTAACAAAAGAAGAAACTCTTTAGCCTTATTCTATTTTAGTAATTCTAGATTTTCGTATTCCATGCTGTTTTTCTTCTTGGACTAAAGCTAATCAAGTCCTATTATTTATATGGTACCAGTGATTCAGCCCAGAGACACTTGCACACTGAGCTGAATCTCTAGATCTTTTTTACTTTTTTATTGAGACAGGGTCTCACTAAATTGTTGAGGCTAGCTTTTAACATGGGATCCTCCTGCCTCAGCCTCCTGAGCTGCTAGGATTATAGTGTGTGTCACCATGCCTAGCATGGCATTGTTTTAAAGATTCTCCAGTGCTCTGAATTTCTTTCAAGAAGGCTTCTATTAAGCGCTTCAGATTGAAGTGGAAGGGAACAGAGTTAACCTGGATCAGCTCAGTGTGTGGAGACTGATTTCTGAGACTCAGAAAGACATTAAAAGTATCTATTCTTAAATAAGTCGGAAGAAACTTCAAAAGTAAGGTTATAATGTCATGATTATGTAGCAACCTGATTAAAATTAATTTTAATATAATTTGTGAGTTTGTATATTTTGTTACTAAATTCTGCAGTGAAATTAAAAGCCTTCTCTAGAAGTCTTTTTACTCCTTTAGTAATATGTAGCCACTTGATTTGTTAATATTTACTACTTTCTTTATTGCCTTAACTTTATCTTTGAATAAAAATACCTTTTTATTTAAAATGGCACTGTTAATAGCCAAAATTGGTAATATTTCATAGAAAGTTCATAGTAAGTACTTCTTACTTTATTTGAACAGATTTGAATAGGTTGAGGAAACACAAAAATTCAAGGGAAATAGCATTTTCTTATGGAGTGTTTTATTACAATGGTTATCTCCTTTAAAGGTCTGAACAAGAAAATGAAAAGAAATACGTATTGCAGAGCTATGCAAACCAGGCAAAACTTAGGGCCTCATGCATGCAAGGCAAGTGCCCTACCACTGAGCCACACCCCGACCACTTTTCTTTCTTCCTAGAATTAAAAGTTCATTTTATCCATTAACTGTACCTAGCTTTAAAAAGCAAATGTAGCCAGGCACAGTTGGCACATTGCCTGTAATTCCAGAGGCTCGGGATGCTGATGCAGGAGGATATAGAGTTCAAAACCAGCCTCAGCAAAAGCAAGGTGCTAAGCAACTCATTGAGACCCTGTCTCAAAATACAGAATAGGGCTGGGGATGTGGGTCATGTGCCCCTGAGTTCAATCCCCGGTACTTCCCCACTTAAAAAAAAAAAAAGATAGATGAATTCATGGGAATAAATGAATAAATAAAATTTCAACCCGTGTTAATTTTCTGTTTACTAGTCACACACTTCAAGAAGTTTCAAAAATAGAACAGAGTTCCTATGTACTTATCATCCACCAAGGTGACAGTACACTTAAATTTTAATAGTTCTTCTTTGCACTTCTTTATAAGTCATTTTTTAAGGATATATAACTTTTTTTTTTTAAAGAAAAGACACATGTATCATTGTGTTATGTCTGAATTTTTTTTTTTTTTTTTTTTGTGGTACTAGACTTCAACCTAGTAGTAGTGCTGTGTCATGTCGCGGAGCTACATTCCCGCTTTTTTTTTTTTTTTTTTTGGTGATGCTGGGGATTGAATCCAGGGCCTTGTGCATGTGAAGCAAGTGAGCTATATACCCAGCCTCCTCTTTATTTTTTGAGACAGGGACTCACTAAATTCCTAAGGCTGACCTTGAATTTGTGATTATCCTGCCTCAGGCTCTCAAGTGGCTGGGATTACAAGGGCTGGGCTGATCCTCTTTAAAATTAGAAAGTATCATATAAAAGAAAGGGTCCTTTTGTTATTATTGTTTTAGGGCATTTTTCCCCATTTCCAGATTGTATGGTTGGCTTAGAAGGGGATTATGCTTCCTAAGTACCTTTCCGGTTCATTTCTTACCAATAGCCTAAAAAGTGTATAACACCATTTTACTCCCTATATTGAAGAAACATATTCAATTGACTGTTCAGATTTCTTGTATTGAAGTTTATTTTGAATTTGAAAATTATATTTGAAAACTTGAGAAATTTTTTGCTTTGCTTTTTTTAAACATCATTTGTTTTTCTTTCTTTCTAGCCTGAAAATGAAATTTCTTCAGACTGCAATCATGTAAGTATAGATTTCTTTTAACTCACCATATGTGCTTTATATCTATGATGGTAGACTTTGGGATACTTCCTGTTGTTCTAGGGAACTTTGTGTTTTCTTAGATTCCCTTAATCTTAAAATGATAATACACTTTTGTTAAGGACCAGGGTAAAAATCTACAATACTCCTTCATTATAGAAACTGGCAGGTTTTTTCAAATAATATTTAGGTACTTAAGCTTAAGTTTCTTCATTACACTACCATATGAAAATAATGAGTTATCTGCTTATCGAGTTGACAGATTTTAAATACTGTATTTTAAAGTTCTTTCATTTACTCATTCAGTCATCTACTATGTGTTGTAGCACATTAAAAGGAGACTGTGAAATTAAATCTATGCAAAAAGTTTTGGGTGCTTTGATAGAAGTCTGTGCAGAATACAGTGGTGACACAAAGTGAATTTTGTTCATGTGTTTATGTCAGGAAAGGCTTAATGATGGAGTTGATACTTGATTTTCAGGAAGATGTGTTTGTCAGATTATCAGAAATCACCCTGTCTTGGTGTAGTGATAGATTGGATAGGGATTGCAAAAAAAAAAAAAAAACAGGAGAGTTGGCTCTTACTATTCATTCTAAAAAAAATCTAGAGGGGTCTGAGACTTCAAAGTGCAAAATAAAACTTCAAGAGTCCTAGAAGAAAACTTGAACTAACACAACCCCACTAAACATAATAGTCACACTTCCTGAATTCAAACTTACTGAAAAGCTGCAATATCAAGACTGTGGTTCTGAATAGGATAGACAGAATTGAGAATTCAAAAATAGGCACATGATTCATTTTCAGCAAGGGTATGGAGGTAATTTGGTAAGGAAAGGAATAGTCTTTTCAACAAATAGTATTAGAACAACTAGATCCCCACAATACAAGGAATGAATTTGGAGCCCAAAATCATACTGTATATTAAAAAATGCATTGAAAACCTACATGAAAGAGCTAAACTATAAAATCTGTTGAATAAATATAGTTGTAAACATTCATGACCTTAGATTAGGCATAGTGTCTTAGATGTGACACCTAAAGAATAAGCAACTAAATAAAATTTGATAAGTAGATCAATTCACCAAGTTAAGAATTTTTGTGCTTCAAATGAGACTGTCAAAGTTTGCTGGGCATGGTGTCGCACACCTGTCCCAGTGTCTCAGGAGGCTGAGGCAGGAGGATCTTGGAGTTCAAAGCCAGTCTTTAGCAACTTAGAGAGGCTCTGTCTCTAAATAAAAATTTTAAAAGGGGCTGGATATGTGGTTCAGTGGTTAAGTGCCCCAGGTTCATTCCCCAGCACCAAGGAAAAAAGAAAAGTTCAAAACAACCCACAGAATGAAAGAAAATATTTGCAAATATTTTCTGATAATTGTGTAGTTAGTGTTGAAAAAGATTAAAAAAAAAAACTCTTATGATGAAAGAAACAAATTTAGGGTTGGGCGTATAGCTTAGTGGCAGAATGTATACCTACCATGCATGAGGTCCTAGGTTCAATCCCCAACACCACCCTGTCCCCAAAGAAGATATACAAGTGACCAGTAAGCACATGAGAAGATGCTCAGTAGTGTTGTCATTAAAGAACTGCAAATCAAAACCATACACACCCACTAGGGTGACGGTAATCAAAAAGATGGACAATAACAAATGTTGGCATGAATATGGAGAAATTAGAGTCTTCTTACATTGCTGATAGGAATGTGAAGCAGCACAAGAAGTCTAGTCTGTGGATTCTTCGTGAGTTGAGTTATGACCCATCAGCTTAACTGTGTGTGCCTTGTGCTGGGAAGGCCCATCCCCCTCTGTTGTCGCACAGCAGTGAATGTGTAAGACTTCTGACCTCTAAATAAGTAGGGTTTCTTCCCTTCAGCAAGCAGTCTGTTCTGCAGCAGTGGATGTCTGCTGGGTATCTCTAAACCAGTTCAGTTCTAGCACTGTCTACCTAGAGAGAGCATCAGGTCACAGGGGTTAGGGCCTCAGTTCCCAAGACTGTCCTCCTCCAGCACACACTTTTTAGATACCAGTGGCAAACACCAGGTGGTATTTTGTTTAGTTTTGTTTTTCTAAAAAGATACAGATTTTACTATATTGCTCAGCTGGCCTTGAACTCTGAGAATGACTTGATTCTCCCACCTCACCCTCCCAAGTAGCTGGAACTACAGAAATGTGACATTGTGCCCAGCTCCCAGCTCATTTTACTTGTGATTCTGACCAAGTGGCTGTAAATTGAGTTTTCCACAACTCCCTCCTCAGGTGTGATTCATTTACTCTAGCAGCTCACAGAACTCAGGGAAACACTAGCTTACATTTACCTGTTTATTTTAAAGCATGTTACAAGGGATCTGAGGCTGTGGCTCAGAGGTAGAGTGCTTGCCTAGCATGAGTGAGGCACTAGGTTTAACCCTCGGCACCACGTAAAAATAAAATATTAAAAAAAAGGATGTTACAAGAAACACAGATGAAGAGATGCATATAGGTCAAGGTATGGAAGAAGGGTGCGGAGCTTTTAGGTGTCTCTGAGCATGCTGCCCTCCAGGAATCTCCTTGTGTTCAACCTTCTGGAACTCTGTCCTTTTGGGACAAAGACCTCATTGTGTAGGCATTATTGCTAAGGTGGGGAAACTCAGCAAGGCCTATCTATTCAGATTATCCTTGGCCTCTGGATGCAGTATTCCTTCCTACAGGGCACAGGGTTTAACCCATCTGGAATGAGGAAAATATCATGACCTATTATTGGACCAGAGTAAGTCAGAGAATTTCTTTATGGCCAGCTCTAAGATGGAAAGGTAAAGGAAAATTAGAGTTTCAATGACCTGCCTTAGGGAAGAAAAATTCTAGTTTCTGTGGCCTTCCTTGGGGAGGAAGTTATAAGCCAGGAATTGTGAACAAAAACCAAAGTATGTGTATCATAACATCACCAATACCCAAGACAGTTGAAAACATATGTTCATATAAAAATGTTTAAACAGATATTCAGAGAAGCATTGTTTGTGATAATCTAAAAATGGAAACAACTCAAATGTACTTCAGTTGATGAATGGCTAAATAAAACATGGTGTGTCCATACAGTGGGATATTATTTGGCTAAAAAAAAAGGGATGAAATGCTGGTGTATGCTACAACATGGACGAACCTCAAGAACTGATTCATTGACGTGAAATAAGTAGAATAGGCAAATCCACAAAGACAGGAAGATTTAGTGGTTGCCAGGGACTGGGGGAATTGGGAAATGGGAAGTGACTGCTAATAGGTGTAGAGTTTCTTTTGAGAATAATGAAAATGCTCTGTAATTAGTGATGGTGATTATAGAACCATCAGCTTATACTTTGGATGAGTGAATTTCATGGTATAAATTATATCTCAGGGCTGGGGTTGTGACTCAGCAATAGAGTGCTCGCCTAGCATGTGCGGGTGGGTGCTGGGTTTAATCCTCAGCACCACATACAAAATAATTAATTAATTAATTAATGGTATTGGGTCCGACTACAACTAAAAAAGTTTTTTAAATAAATAAATCTCAGCAGAGTATAGTCAGCACCCATATAATTGCCATATAGCTTTCATTGTTAATTCAGATGCTTTTGTGTCTTCTATACCCCTACTTAATTCCACTCCTTTTGCATTATTTGGAAGCAGAATATCTTTCCATATGTTAATATCTTTCCATATGTTAATATTTCAGTAAACATTCCTAAAAAGTAAGGGCTTTTAGAGAAACAATAACTATAATACCATTATCATATTTTTTAAAAATGTTATTTATTTTTGCTAGACTGGAGATTGAACTCAATGCTCTACCATAGAACTACATCCCCAGCCCTTTTTATTTTATTTCAAAACAAATCTCAGTAAATTGTCTAGGCTGGCCTTGAATTTGCAATTCTCCTGCCTTAGTCTTCCAAGAAGACAGAATTAGAAGTGTGTACCACTCTACCTGGCTGTTGTCATATCTTAAAATACCATGATCCCTAGTCAATTATTCAATTAGTATTTAATGTTTAAACTTTGGCATGATCCTATAAGGGAATTTATTTAATCTGATAAATAGTGGCTGTAAAAAGACCTATAACAGATGTGAAATATTGACAGCTTTCTTCCCAAGACTATCTATAAGACATTGTTGCTCATTGTCACAGAGAGCCTAGCTGGTATAGTCAAGCAAGATAAAAAGCAGGCTAGAATTGGGAAAGAAAAATTAAACTGTCATTATTTATAGATAACATAATTGTTTTAGTAAAAAATCCAAAAAGAATTTGTAAATTGGGCTGTGGTTGTGGCTCAGTGGTACAGCACTTGCCTCCCACATGTGAGGCACTGGGTTCAATCCTCAGCAACACATAAAAACAAAACAAAATAGAGATATTTTTTAAAAAAGGAATTAAAAAAAAAAATTTGTAGATAGACTGTTAGCAGGTGATTAATGGATGACTTCAACACAATCTCTAGATGTAGAGTCAGCACATAAAACTAAGTTACATATTATTATATTGTGTGCATATATGAATATGTAACAAATCCCATCATTATATAAGTATAATGCACCAATAAATGTGGAAAAGACTCACTTGTATTTCATATAATAAGAATAAGCAAATATTTTAATAATAATATTTGAAATAGCATACCTAAGAATAATTTTTAAATAATGTGTAAGACTGCTGTGCAGATAACTATAAAATATTAAGAGAAACGCTTAAGTTCACAAGTTCAAAACTTACTATAAAAATGTCAACTGTACCAAATTACCTATGGAGGAAGGAGACCCTCATTGTTATACAAAATTACATATAAGAGGAAGTGAGGGGAAAGGGGAAAAAAAAACAAGGGGGAGAAATGAATTACAGTAGATGGGGTAGAGAGAGAAGATGGGAGGGGAGGGGAGGGGGGGTTAGTAGAGGATAGTAAAGGCAACAGAACACAACAGACACTAGTATGGCAGTATGTAAAAAAGTGGATGTGTAACCGATGTGATTCTGCAATCTGT